AGATCCCGCCTGACATTATCCTCCCATCTACGTCTAGGTCTCCCCAGCGGTCTCTTCCCCTCAGGCTTCCCAAATAGTGGACCCAACCAACCAGATGGCTTACGGAACCCGAAGGTTCATCACCGAATTAACCAAAGCCCTCCACCGGACCCTGTCCTGGGCCAACAAAATCCAGTCTCCTTCAACTCCTATCTCCCGTAGATCCCGCCTGAGATTATCCTCCCATCTACGTCTAGGTCTCCCCAGCGGTCTCTTCCCCCCAGGATATCAACACCGCGGTAATTAATCGAATTTGAGCTTCGTGTAAAATGATTAACTCGAACCAAAGTTTAATTAGCACAATTATTTTGCTACAATGTGGACATCAGTACCAAATTTATTTTAAATCTGTTCACAACTTTATGAAACGTGAACTGATAGATGCCTGGGTCACATGGACAGCCATGACATTCTCATTTTGTAGTAATTCAATGTAATTTGTGCAGATAACTCTTTAAAAAGTAAGAAAACGTTCTGATGACACACAGTTGACGGGAAGTCGCTAATACGGGCTTAAATTAAGTAGAACGTCTTAGAAGATTCGTACTAGGAAGCTTCCACGATTATCTTATACTTAATTAGACGTATCCAGCTGTTAAGTTGCTACCGATGCTTATAATTAAAGTTGTACTTCTGGGAGCAATCTTAGATGACGTGGCGAATTTCTAAAATGTATTTTTTTTCCTTACCAATTGTATCAAATTGGTTTGCCACGGTTGCGTATAGAATCCTCCGTTTCCTTATTAAAAACTCGGCTGCCAGTGTTACCAACACCTCGATAAAACATTCTTTTGATTTCTTTCGGAGAAGCGAACCATTCATCAGGACGAACATGCAAGACTATATCGTTTCGGGCTTTTTTGGCCGGAAACAATAGATTAAGAATGGTTTATGAGTTTGCCACTTCTGTTCTTATACCGTTGTCCAATTTTGATAGACTTTGATATGAAACTTCCAATTTAAAACTACATTAACTGTATTAATCTAATATACAGCCCCTGAGTCACATAAACATATTCCATAATTGTATAATATTTTAAATATTAAATGTTAATTGTAGTAATAATATTTAATATTTTAATATTTAATAAAATATTTTATTATGATTAGACGGTTAAAATTAAACAATGTATAATATTTATTTGAGCCACTCTAATATTAACATACACTACTGAATCATAGCTTGGTTAGAGACTGAATTTTCTACTGTATTAAGTAAAAATTCATGTTCTCACGGTGGCAAGTATTAAGGATCGCTGTCATATGTATTGATGAAGTAGACGTTTGTCTACGTTTCAAAGGCGCTTCCTGTCTCTGTCACCCAAACCCCTGATGGTAGAGGCAGCAGGGGCTTCTCTTCTACCAGACTACACGGTGCTACAACCACGAAGACAGCCATCTTCTTCTTCCTCTGCCGTAGTTGTTTCATTACCAACAGTAAAACAAAAAATTACATTCACATTTCCTAGAAACAAGTTTGTTAGAATACATGTAGTCGGACGGAAGGTTGATCTGATTTAACTTCGTGGTCTTAAAGAGATCGGTCAATGGCCATTGCAGAGAAAAGAGATCTCGTTCGTTCTGGCATGTAGGTCGAAAGGAAATGCATTCCTGTTACACTCCATTTCACATCTCCATCGAGAGAGCGCGCAGATGAAGTCTTCGTGACCTGTATGCTAAAAACGATTACCTACGAGTGATCAGATATTTTAACTTCAAGAGATTTTCCCACCGCGATTAAAATCTTCATCAACGTTTCTTGTTACTTGATTCCTTTATTCACCTACCTGCTAATTTTCTTCACGAAGTTTCGGATACTGAATCTGCTTCGGTTATGAGGTGAAAATATCGTTGAATTCTTTAGGAAGATCTCATCTTAATCACTGGGTGTTTCCGAAACTTTTAATCCTTTTTCCGAACGCTAGGTGGTGGACACTGTCCATAAATCCAGTAACACTATAATTTGTGCAGTCGATTTAGTCCAAAGAGAAATTGAAGATGGTCGTCTTCTGGGTTGTAGTGCCGTGTAGTCTGGAAGAATTTTACCTGCTTTTCAGAAGTACCTGCTGCCTCCATACTCAGCGTTACCACAGATGAAATAGTGTGACATCAGAGCTGCCATCTAACATGATATATGATTTAATTAAAGGAAGTATTAATGCGATGAGTGACCGATAGAACGAGCTGGAGTGTTGGTGAGTGTCACCGGTTACATTCATATTCATTCTCCTTTTAACCGTTCGAAAGGAGAGGGATTTCCTATTCCACGTGCTGATCACGTGTCGGTGTTCCAGGTGACAAGTCTGCTGCTGGAAGCTGAGAGGCGCAAACTCAGTGTGCTGCAGCGAGAGCTCCAGGTGGCGCTAGCAGAGGGCGGGTCCATCAAAGCGAAGGAGCATCAGAAACAGGAGCTCATCATCGCCATCTCGTGAGTGGTTCTGCAACTACTGGCACAAGTGTGCGGATACTATATTGAAGAGTGACCTAAGGAAATATAGAGAAACTCAAATACTACGTATCATCGACACACTCAATTAAGTTACATTAAAATAATACCAAGAATTGTGTTTGCAAGACATGAGAATTGTGTTTTGAAGCAGATAAATTTATTCCACACGAGTGTCTTTAAAATTCGTTTTAATATTATCTTCCCACTCGCACTGTGTGTAATTTATTCCCTTGAAGTTTTTAGACTAAAATCCATTGTCATGCACCTTTATAAAATATTTACAAAATTTATTCTGAATATTGATTGTTAGTGTTTGGAATCTGGGTAAATGAAGCCAAATTTGTTTGAGATAAGTAGATTAAATCCTAGAAGTAAATCACTAATTGCCATATTGAGCATTACCTTCTGAATGGACTTGTGATTATGTAAATGTTCCAGATTATACAGAATGTCTGCTGCGGTCTATAAAACCCGCTGTATATATACTGACGACTATTGAATAAATGTTTGATGTGTTGCAGACGTATCCAGGCGCAACATGATCACCTGGAGAAGGAATACCGCCAGCACGCCATCGGAGTACTGCGCTGCTCCAAGAACCGAGGATCCGGCAAGGTATGTCTCTCTCTTTACCAGTTCAGTCGAAACTGTTTGTTTTTATCGCATGTGTTATTATTGGAACGAAATTATAATAACTGTTGGTTCGACACCAGTTAAACGTCTGAGTTGGTCTGTGTTTTAAAAACAACCCCAGTAAACAAAGTTATTTTGTTATTGGCCACTGTCGTAAGTTTGTCTCAGATCAGACGTTCCGGAAACTGCCTCCTTCTCCTTCATCAGATTGCGAGAGAGGAAGTTTCCTACTAAGATGGATTCTAGATTTCGAGGTTTGAAAGTAACTCTATCCAACGGATCCAAGTAGGAAAATTCTTCCCCTCCTACCAGATAACGGAGATAAAACCAGTTGCCGAAACAATGCCCAGATAATATTCACGTGGAACATTTAACTCGAAAACTATGTACTAAAGTGCAATCACGCTGGTTACGTAACTTGCAAGATCACGCGAATTTAAGTTGAATTGAAAAGAAAACGTTACAGAATTTCTGCTTAGTTCTTACCTAACGAAACAAATTATTAGTCGCCCTGTGTGACTGCATGTACTGGACCCCCACAGGAGCCAATATGAATTAACAGGTGTATGGACCACTCTTGCTTTCAGCAATGTCATATTTTCGCAACTAGCTGACTGAGCCGTCGAAGTTTGTTCAATGTGATTCAGAGAATCTGTACATAGATGTCAGTGGAATATGAGGGTGCAATTTATTTTTTCATGCAGGTGAACTATTAATTTCACGCATGATTTACGTTTCAGTTTTTATGCTTAAGAGTATAATCGCATTTTAAAAATAACATTCCGGGCGCAGCTGACTTCCAGCTCCTGGAATGCAATGCCACTGACTCCTCGCAAAATTTATGGGGAGGGGATAGTAACGCGCCCTGTTTTTAATATCAGAATTGTATGAATTTAGCTGCGATCCTAACGGTGGTGGGGTGACCTGCCATTTAAGAGAGGTGTGGCCATGTGGAAATATTTATGAGGGTTCGTTTTATAGAGAGTTGAATTTTAGGGAAGGGTACAGTAGGGGCAGTGAGCAGTGGGGAAGAGAGTTGTGAGGTGGTTGCCTAACTAGGAGGGGAATGAAACGACGCCCAAGCACCGTTGTATCTTCGATCGGACGCCGCTAACACCGCCTAGCGACAGAACGTGGAAAACAATACATATTCGAAAGGGGAGTCTGTGTGTGAGGTTTTGCTTGCGAAAATATGGACTTTGTTGTGTTTTTGTTACGGTGTGACTACTAAGTTAGCAATAGAATCAAGGTGTTTTCAGTAATCTTCGTTTGTCATTCTTGAAAATTTGCTGACGTCTGCTAGACAGCTTTGACTCTCGAATGTGATATTCTCACGAGCAGTAAACGTGATCGAATCCCGTGATATTTGTGTGCTGTGAATATTCTTTTGAGGTTTGTTTATTTTATTATTTTGGTCGATTTCTAATCTGAAGTGGGGGAAATGGAATCTGTGACTACGTTTGTTCGGGAGAAGCTTTTGATACTTGATATGACCTGCGTTACGTAAGGGTGGAAGAGAATAGCAAGTGTGGCGGTGGTAGTTTGCACAAACAGCAGGGGGTGAGAGGAGGGGTTGGTGGTGGAAATGTGAAGCAACATTGGGTGGAGGGGTGCGTTCCATCCCTCCAGACTCAGATCACATCAATTAAGTTAGAAACTAAATTACACCAGTGTCTGATAGAGTCGAAGCAAAAATAGAGAACACTGACATTCACCTCAGAAATAAATATTTTATCTAGATATGTGTGAAGCCTAAAAATCAATCATAAGTTTCAATTTGTCCAACGTGTGGTTCCACGGAGTTGGCGCTTTGCCCCTTCGGCCGGATAGCCGTTCCGACGGCAAGTCCGGGGGGCTACGCCCCCGTCCGGATACTCAGCTGGCAAGACTAGCTGAGCCAGTTCCCACTGTCCCCGAAATGCTAACGGGTGGTTACACTGATAATCAACACAGTGCAGAGATAGGACAAGCAACTGCTCTGTCAACCATCGAAGGTTCGAACTTATTACTGAGAAGAAAGAAACAGGCTAGTATTAAGAGTAACGGTGCAGTGATCCACGCGTCGGACTCTAACTGTGTTGCCAAACCACCAATCGGTGTTCATAAATTTGGTGCACTTAGAAGTTACCCGATTCCAGTAAGACCCCCGGTAGTTCCAAACCTGAAACCAAGGCCTCCTGAGAGAACCTCTAGCGAAGGGTCTCTCCCAGGTAGCAAGAAATTTGCGACACCTTTTGTAACATCGGAATCGAGGCCGGATCCTTCTAAGGCAAATGTAATAGAATATGCACAGTCCTGCAAGAATAAATCGATTTTATCGTCTCCGGATCGAAATCTGAAGTCCACTGAAGAGGGCGCAGTTAGTTATGTAGAGTTCAGTTCTACGATTGAAGCTGTAGACTTTACACCAGCTACTGGAGAGACTAGAACAAACGAAGCACAGTTCAGATCATCGGTTTCGCCATCACCAAGAAGCTCACAGCTTAGTTTATACGTAGGTTCTAGAAGAAACTCACCTCCAGTTCCACAAGTACCCCCACTACAACCAAACAAAACATCTCTCCAGAATTTAATTCCTCCAGGGGAGAGAGAAAACAGAAGAACATCATCTCCACAGCCTTCTGAATACTTCTTACCCATTCAGAAGTCACCTTTAAAAGAGATCACTGGGAAAAATTCTCCAGTGCCAGAGTACCTTTCAACTGGAAAGAAATCCCCATTACCTGAGTGTGTAGCCAAGAACGTAGTTCGAAAATCGTCCAGTAGGACAAGTATCCCCGAGGTTCACGAAGCCAGCCCTTCTCCGTCAAAACCTATTAAAAAGGAGTGTCTGTGTGCTGACCCCCGGAGACCACCCTTAACACCGGCGCGACCAAAAAGCGTTGCATTTGCCATCGACGAAGAAGATCGCTGTGTTCCTCCACCACCACCGCCTCCAAGAAGTGTTAGCAAGCCCAAGCCAGTTCCTGCTCGAATCTCGAAGGCAAACAGCTGTCCAGGAATCATATACTCACCAACGAAGGACATATTAATTGTTAAGCAGCCACTTGCTATAATTAAACCTTCAGTTTCTCCTGTGCAAGCTATTGGCTTTAAAAGTACAGCATCTGGGAAAATCGTCGTCACTGGGGGGACAGAATTCGAAGCTGAAGTCGTGAACGTTGTCACCGCAGGGGGCGAGGTTTTGAGTGTCTTCTGTGAGAAACAGGGGACCGGCAGTGATATCTGTGGAGGCTGTGTTAAATCCGGCAGTGGGAACTTTCGTGTAATAGACGGTAACGTCGGTAGATCTGGTCCAGGATCAGATTTTAATAACTCTTTGGCGTCTCTAGTCGGATCAGCTGGTCGACGGGCTTCGGTTACATCCCTGAGCGATACTTCATTAGCCTCTCTCGTCGTTGGAAGTTGTTGCAGAGGCTCTGAATTTGAGGGTTTGATTTTTGGTAACGAAATTGTTGTGATGGGCGCGAGTGGCGGTGCTAAGGGGTCGTCCGGGGGCAGTGAAGCTGAAAGTTGTGGGGGTGGGGCATGCAGGAAGATATTATCTGGAAGAAATCAGCAACAACAGGCGCCATCTAGTGGACAGCCAGTGAAACCTCAGCAACAATTCCAGCAACCTAAAGGTGGGGGAAGTCCCGGACCTGGGCCCGGTGGAGGAACACAGGTAAGGGCAGAATGGCTATCATCGTGCCCCCTTCTGAAAGATCCGGGAAACTTCAGATTCAGGGCTCAATATATGACGGTGTGGAATCAACTTTACGACTGTAGAACATGACAGTTTCGGATTTTGAACCGCGGTTTTCATAACAGTGAGGTGTTCTTTTGAGGATGACTGTTGACTTTGGTTTTATGTGTAATGATGAAAGGTCAGAGGAGTCCGCTGCGGTGAGGGGAAGAGGGGGATCACATTACTTGAATCAGATCTGCTCGTACTGTAACATGTTGGATTTATTAGTAATGTAAACAGAATGTTGAATCAGTAAGTAAGAATGGGATATTATGTCAAGAGGGAGTACCCTGGAAAGGCAAAATAAATTAAACACTTCCCGCCTTTCTATTATACCAGTAGTGCATTTCGTTCATCTGTATAGGCGTAGCCCTTTTAAAACTATCGGTAGCTCGTACTCCCTCCTTTAACATTCAGTAACCTTGCGTTTTGCAAACAATTTATTTTTGTGTTTTGTATGATTCTCAGAATAAATAGCGATTATTCCACTGGACAGCGTTAACCAACTGATGATTGTAATGGTGGAATGCTACGTTTTCTTTGCGATACGGACTGAAGCTTCGGCCTCAAGATGGTCGTAATATATGTGTATTTAAACTGACGGTCGCTTTCGATTGGTTAGCAGTCCTGATTTGTAATAGTGACGTCAGTGGATAAAATCTTTAAGTTTATGACACGCTAGCCTTGTAATCCTGGGGTCCCGGGTTCAATTCCCGGTGGTGCTCAGATTTATAACTTGTGTTCGGCAAGGCCGTGGTCTAGGCAACACGGAGTTTTCCTCCGGGGGCTTCCCCGGTTTCTCCGTGGCATCCATTCACACACAGAAGAAGGCAATGGCAAACCACTTCTGGATCATCTGCCAAGAACGTATATGAACAGGTCCCAGTCCGAGAAAAGGATGGAAGGATCCTGTTCATATGGACCTGTCGTCAGACAGAACACTAAAAAAAAGAAGAAGAAGAAGAAGAATATAGACCAAGTAAAATGTAGACAGAAGGTACAATTCTTTCCCATGTTTCTTTCTCCAACGTAGAAGTAATAAATGCTGAAAACTTGCAGCGCGTCTGAATAAAAGACGAAAAATAAAAGTAGAATCTACCCATGTCGCGGACCCCGTAGGCATAATGTGCTGCCGTGGGCATTTCAGTAGACCGCCCCGCTCATAAATAAGTGGCGCGGCAGAATTGAGGTCATCGGCTCACGACCCGAGTTTCATAGGCGTATAATCGACATCTGCTTTATTCTCCCTCGTCTTACAAGCAACTGGCTCTGCGTTGCTATGGTGACGATGCGAGTACTCTGCTGCCATTCCGGGTTTGAACAGGAGACTGCATTAACTAAGCCACAAGTATGTTGCCATGCATTACACATTCTGACCCTGAATAGATGTAACCCAAATCATTAGTGTACCATAACCACCGAATTCCGCGGCCTTAGCACTCCTTCGTATTTGGGAGATTCCGGGTCCATTTCTCGGCTTGAAGACCGGCTATCATCTCTGGAAGTCATTTCTCGGTGCTAATGATACAAGCCCACTCATCTCATACTTCTCTTGGCATAAATGAAATTTTTAAGAATTCGATCTTAATTAAATATGATACGTAATGTGAATGATTTTTAATCGGACAACAAAAGCATCCAACCGCATAATTGCATCTTTCAGTCGACCGAAATAAACTGAATAATCAATACTGCGCTGCGGTTTTTTTTAGACAGGAGTAATGGCTGAGTATTAACCGGTCTTCGCTTAAGCTAAAGCGTAAAGAACGCCTTACGAGCACTTCCGACACTCACACAAAGATATTTCTCCGCCTGGTTTATCACTTAGTGGCGACGGTCGTAATCAAACTAGGGATATTTTTGAACAGTAGCATCACAACATTAATCAGTATAATTTCGAAGATGGCTGTCTCCCTGTAGGTTTCAAACGTGTTTACTGCTTCCATCGTCAGGGCATAATATTTATGACGATATGGGTGTGATATGCAAGACTGACCAGAGTATCAGTAAGCAATCTAAATGGCGCAATGATCTAGTCCACACGTGCAGCTACCATTAGGAAGCTTTCATAAATAACGAAAGAGATAAAAGGTGGCAAAGTTTGAACATACAAAATAAATAATTCCCTATTGAATTTTAACGAGCGTTTTCGAAAAGTGTTCCGTAAATGAAGAAAATCTGTTTTGTTTCAGAGCAACAGAAGTCAACCAGCCATTGGACTGAAGCAGACACCGAAGGCGAGGGTGAGTACAGATAACAATTATAAATCACGTGATTGATTTCGTCTCTAGTTACAGTTTTTCGTAATCGATTGTCTCACCTAAAAACAACGGCGTCTGTTTATATGGGTACTTCTCCTCCGGAGATAAATAATTAACATGTCTCTCTGAATCTTAGCAACACATAGGTTTTGACGTAATCAGCATTATGCTTAGTGCTCCTCATATGTATATTTAACTGTCTGCGACATACTTGTTTAGTCGACGTGTTTCCTGTTTTGTGTCATCTGCTTAGAATATTGCTGTTGATTTTAAATTCGGTTTGTACCGGTAGCCGAAGTGATACTGTTCATATTTGGTTCACAAAAAATATTGATACTTCCAAGATTTGCATCAGCAATAATTGAATATTAGTGCCAATAAAGTAAAATTGCAAAGGACATATTAATAAAAACAGACGTACACGAAGTCGGAGTACAAATTTCCACTCAATTTTATATAGACTATGGAATAATTGAAGCCTTCATTTGGATCATTTTCATTCGCTAGCAATCATAGTAACGCTGCAACTCTGCACAACACCGTTCAGATGAGCTCTTGATCTCCTTGAATCCATTCCACAAGGGTGATTTGAAGAGGACTGCTGACAGATGAGAGGGTGGGCTGGGGGAGGGGCAATGGACGGGTATAGTTGCCATGGTTACCGACTGTATAAATAACGCAATGCTTTTGCGCTGGTTTTATGTACGAGTCGTGGTGGGGGAAGGGGGGATATAATGAACAATTCATCTCTTTCAAGGGCTCGGTTCGATTTTCCATCCATTTGTCATTCTTAAAGATAAGGTGGATTAAGGTAGCTGTTTATAAGACAGTCAGATGGGATCAGTACAGATTAATATTCAGTTCGCCTGCATCTCCGATTTATGTCTTAATTTATGGATGCGTTATACTTAATAATCTTCAACAAATGTTGCTACGGGGATCAAATTACGGTGAATGTGATAAGGGCGTGTAGCACGCATGGGAAAGATAAGAAATGCACAAGAAAGTATTTTTTCCCTACGAGGAAATGTTGCAAGACGTTTAGTTTAATTCCAGAACCAAATGAAAAGAATAAAGATTTTGTTATCGACGATATATCGAGCTACAGGCGCCGAATCCAGTGGATTAGATGGATTTAAATGAATGTCTGGCTTCCTCGTGCAATTTAGCGCGTATTCCTCACCTGAACGTAATATTCTGATTTTACTTTGATTACGTTTCAAAGCAGGAAACTCATTTTCTGACAGTTACACTCGAATCAGATATCTATCTCTCAGTTACACATGGTTTAATTACGAACTCCTACCGATGATACGCTTTTAATATCGCGTTATCTTCTGTAACACATGCAGAGTTCAGCCAGGTGTATAGGCAAACGTATATGTTTACCTGTGTGGAGGGTTGCAGCAGCCAATTCCATGAATAATTAAGGAGGATAAGAGACTCACGCACCTTGTTGCCGCTTCTGTGAGCCTCTATTTAGAGTCATGTCAACACCGTCGTATTCTGATTAAATTACTATAGTAGTACAATGTAGTGCCACTAGTTTACACTGATTGCGATGATGCCTGTGTTTACATTATCAAGCAACTACCGGGTGTTCTGGAAAACTAGATTAAATTCGTCACATCTATGATCTAGACACAATTAGAAAATGACACAAGAATTGGAATATCCACACATGACTGATTTATTGGTTATTTAACGACGTTTTTAAGGTGAAAATGTTGTATAGCGTTAAAGACGATAAAATCTTCATGAGCCATTTTAATATTATCCCCCGAGGTAAATTATAGCGACTATGCTCTAGTAGTGCATCCGTGAGCTATCCGGTTTTAATCTTGACTATGTTACCAGCTGTGACCGCGGTTTGTCATGGTCTTTCTCAGTCTCTCCAGATGACTACCACGTGAGTGCCGGGAAATAGGCCGTGGTATTATCCTTCCAAATCCATATGCAGTATATCCTGTGTGATAGAAAGAGTATCGTTAAAAATTCCAAGAACCAGAAGCGTTATCCCATATGGTCACTTTCCTTAAAGGCTTCGGGTTATAAAGAAATGTTTTTTCACTTATGCTTGCTACATGTTCTACCCACGTTATACCTGATTTAATAGTTATAAGTTTATGAGGATATTGGATTTATAACGCGAAAATTTTTTTTCTAGAAAGCATGCCGATTAAAATTATTTCAGACTGACTTACCAGCTGAAAGAAACGGAATACATTCTGAATATGTAACTATTGTAAACAAAAGTTGATCCAGTATCTGTTGTTTTAAGACATCTAGTGTATTAACTTCTCATTCAGATGACCCACTTCACACACGTGTCGGAGAAGTTGCCGACGTGACACGGCGATGCGGCAATTTTCTTCTCCTTTAGCCAGTAAACATTTGGTCAGGTGATAGCAGAGACAGGATTTCTCTCTGGCTAAGTGGAGGGCGGACGCTTAAAGCGACACCTATCGTAGGGAGAGGACTTTGCTCTCAAAGTACAGGATTGTGTTCCATCTGTGTGTACACCGATAATTATGCAGAATATGACAACCACGTCAGCTCGAAATACGGATAGGAAGACAGGTGATCGATTCTCAGCAGTGTCAGTGGAGTCCTCTTCATTATTGTACCTTGAACGATTCTGGGTTTCCTCTCACTACTCGTTTGTGGTAAAGGCGGAAATGAAAGTCCGAATTCCATCACAGATGCGTCTAACATCGATGTCAAGAAAAAGTGGAGGGTGATATTTAACATTTTCCCAGAGGTGGGGATATCGATTTTGGTTACTCTGGACTGGAACGCCGTTTAGATTGACTTGGACCTAGATACTAATTTTTAGGAATGAAGCTGGGAATAGCACGTTTCTCCGAAACGCTGGTACAGGCTTGCAAGTTCCTGTCCAAAAGATAAACAACGATGAGAATAAATGGAGTTTCACCTCCGAGTCCTAAGGGTTTTACACCATCACGGTGTGTTATAAAGTGCATGCATACCGTCACTTTTACAAAAAGAAAAATCTTGAAACGAAATTAATAGATAGTTATGATATATATATAAATGAGGATGGGGGATAAGGCTATTATTGCCGACGGTTGGGATCGAACCCGGGATCCTATTAATGATGCTGATTTAAACAAAGCTATTTTAACAGTCTGCTATTCTCTACCTGGGGGGTCAGAAAATACCCCAGGTAATCAACTAATGTTAACAATTTTATTGATTTTGGGATTTTACAAAATTATATTGGTTTTGGGTAAATACGTTCCTCGGTTTGTGTGTAATGATTTGTCATTGTGCGCGACATTTAGCGATTAGTGCATCAAAATGGCGGAGTCGACAATTTGACATATGACGTCACAATCGTCCTCTACCATGGCATTCTCTCTCCAGACATAAAGAAATTTAATTTGTGGTGCTGGTAGTTCAGTGCTGTCGAGCTAGACCCAGAGAGTTTGCCAGCAGCTAGACTGCTCCGACCATCTCGTTGCTATGGAGATCCGCTTGTAAATGGATGAACACCGTTTCGTGTAACAGTAGAATATAGCTTATAGAATAGACCTTGCTGTATTCCGAGCCTAGATATATATTTTTGGGGAAAGTCGATTTAAAATTTTACTCGGACCTTGTGTAACGCAAGGCGTGTAATCTATTTGATCGACATACTCCGAATTTATATTCGCCCATCTTTTAGTGCAGACAACCAATATAGAATTTAACCGAAATTCCTTGAGTTTTAGATAAATCATTTGGACGATCAGAGGGACTGGCGGACATTGATTCCCTAATGTACCAGAATCCCACAGATGAAATATCAAAGAACATTAAGCAAAGTTCCGTGTTCACGACACACACAAATAAAAAGCTCTGCCACATGAGTCGCTCTTGCGCTGAGAATCTTGTGGGTTCAAATGTCGGAGGTTGCACTGTGCAGTACGCGGGCGATAACGAGGTCAGAGCCCGCAGGTGCGCGTCCTCTCCGCCCACAATCCACTATAATCTCTGACAACAAAAATCCAGCATTTTCTACTCCATTTACTTCTCGCCAGGGTCCGGTGGAGGGCTTTGGTTAATTCGGTGATGGACCTTCGGGTTCCCTAAGCCATCTAGTTGGTTGGGTCCACTGTTTGGGAATCCTGAGGGGAAGAGACCTCTGGGGAGACCTAGACGTAGATGGTAGGATAATCTCAGGCGGGATCTATGGGAGATAGGAGTTGAAGGAGACTGGATTTTGTTGGCCCAGGACAGGGTCCGGTGGAGGGCTTTGGTTAATTGGGTGATGAACCGTCGGGTTCGTAAGCCATCTAGTTAGTTAGTTAGTTAGTTTGTGCCCTCGACTGATGCAAGCTGCATTTCCAGCAGGTACAGGGTTTGAATCTCGGCTGTGTTGCAGGCTAACCTGGCTGAGATTTTTCGTGTTTCTCTAAATATCTGCAGGCGAGTTTTGGGACAGATCGCTTCCTCATAAATCCGTGAGGCTACACAACTTCCGTGTCTGAAACAGCATCATTTCAGCCTAATTAATCTGCACATTAGCTTACTCTGTATTTACTTCTAGAACCCTCTCAACTGCCATGGTTATGTAGCGTCTAATGTTATGGTAATACAGTGATGATGAAGTGAGAGTGATGCAGAAGGAAACAGTCGTGGCCTATTTTATATACGACTGGAATTTGCTTATGTGAACAGGGGAAAACCGTGACTGTGTTTGGTTAGGCGGTTTCCTGACCGTGAATCGAACCTGCGAAGTGGGATGGAATAAGAAAATTTATAATCAAAATTTTGGTGTCCTCTTGACAATAACGACTGTATATCTAATAAGGCTAAGGGAGATTTTATTTTGGTGAGAACAATAGCTGCTTTAAATTAGGCTTTTTAAAATATCGGAAGCAACGATTTTTGATTACTATCACAGTTAAATTTCCCGCTATAGAGAAATATCTCGTGTAATTTTAACGAGTGTACGTTATATAAATCATATGTTCCGG